GAATCATGGAGGTACGAGCAACCTCTATGACCAAGCCGATGCGGCGCTCAGCAACCCCATTCTGCTGTGACGAGTCCGGCAAGGTGTACGACTGGGTGATGCCCTCCGCACGACAGAACTGTCCAAGCCGACCAGAGGCGAACTCGCCGCCACGGTCAGAGTGGAGACATAACACGGGGAGACCGCGGTGAAGACGCGCAGCCACAACCCATGGTAGAAGAACGTCGGGCACGTCGGCCTTCCGCTCCAGTGGAAACACTGTGGTGTAGCGCGTGTAGTCGTCGACGAGCACAAGGAAGTAGCGCTCACCACGCGGTCCGGGGATGGGGGCAGGGCCCCAAACGTCCAAGTTCAGGGTCTGAAGGGGGGCAGTAGCAGGGCGCAGCGAGGAGGAGTGAGGGGCACGGCGGAGCCGGCCCTCGACGCAAGGCGTGCACGGTGGCGCAATCGAGGGGGGAAAGGCATGAAGCGACGCGGGGAGGCTTAAGACAAGACCGTGCTGAGACATGTGACGCAGACGTGGGAGAGTAGGGTGACCTAGGCGGTGGTGTCACAGAAGGGACGGGTGAGTGAAGGACCGACAAGAGCAAGCAACCGCGACCTGGGAGGATGCACCAACCGGGGGGGGAGCGGTGTCTAGGGTGAACAGACCGGACACCGGGTCCCTCGGGAACGTCGCAAGGGGGGAACCTGAGACAGCCTCAGAACAGACAGCAAACCGCTCGTGCCCGGGGAACGTAGTGGTGACGTTGAGGTCTTGGAGAGAGCCGACACCAACCAGGTTCCTCGAGAACAAGGGAACGTGGAGGCCTGTAAGGGAGCCCGAGGGAACTGCTGGACAGGGAAGGGACGTGGAACTGCGAGCGACGATAGGACACGCAAAGGGGTCAGCGAGAGAGACAACAGCAGGCACAGCAAGCGGCATGAGCGTGGAACGGTCGCGGAAGAAGCAGGCAGAAGCACTGGAGTCAAGAGTGAAGAACAGCGAAGCAGTGGCGGAGGCCGAGAACGGAGCCGATGCAGAGACTAGGCTAGGCAAACTAGGCAGTCCTACGCCTGACGCAGCAGGGGAGGCTAGGTTAGACAATGGTGCAACACCTAAAGTAGAGTACACAGGGTAATAAGTTCCAGCAACACTAGAAGAGTCAGAATACAAGGCACGCCCTGGCGGAGCAGGCTGTGCTAGTCGGAGGTGGTCCGGGGCTGGGCCAAAGCGACGACGAAAGAGATCGTCGAGGCGGCGGAAACAGCGGGCAGTCGGGTGTGGGCGGCGGCACAGAGTGCCGCGGAGAGGCCCGATCTGAAGCTAGTACTGGGAGGTCACAGCACCAGAGCTGCCGGTAGACGTCGAGCTGCGCGGGCCGCCACCACGGTCACCACCTCCGGAGGTGCCGGGCCAACCAGGCGGGAGACGGGCCCACGGCTGCGGCGGCTGCTGCTGGGATGGCGGCTGCTGCTGGGGCGACGGCTGCTGCTGGGGCTGCTCCTGCTGCAGAGGGGACTGCGTTTGCTCCTGCCCACCTTTGGTAGTCCTCTCAGGCGGACTACCGTCACCACCACCACTCCCACCACCCCTAGCGCCACCACCCCGGCCTCCCTGGCGGCCACGGCCACCGCGACGCGAGCGCTGCTGTGGGTGGACCGCAGCAGCAGTCTCGGTAAGGGGGGTGGTAGAGGCGTCCGCAGTCGAAACGCCAGTAAACGTGCACTGGGAGGGGGCACAGCCGTGAAAGATAGAGACTGCTGGCGCACCGCTCGACTGAGCGATAGTGCGCTGGCGAGTCTCGATCTCGGTGAGGGTGTCGACAAAGGCGGTCAGAGTGAGGTCACCAGGGTGCTGGCTAAGGAAGTGGTCGCGAGCACTAGCGAGACGGTCCGGCAGGCGCATGGCGATAAAATAGAGCATCATGCAGAAGGGGGGGGGGAGCGCAGTAAGCTGAGCAGCAGTGCTGGCAGTGCGATAGCGGGTCTGTAGGGCACGCAAGTGAGTGGCAAATTCTGCGACAGTAGGGAAGGCAGCAAGGTCTGGGAACAGCTTCGGGAAGAGCAAGCGACCGGCAGAAGCGGATGCAGGTGTGGAATAGCGAGCAATAACGGCGTCTAAATAAGCTTTGGCTGTATCAACCGTAGCGAAACGCGAGAGCTCAGACACAGGGAGGGCGTGACTAATAGCAACCTGAGCTACTGCATCGCGGGAGTCCCAGATCGCACAGGCAAGCGCAGCAGTAGAGAAGATCTCACGGTCATCAGGGGAGGGGTCAGCAGGGAGGGGAGCAGGAGCAGGGGGGCAGGGGAGCAAGCCATCGACATGGACAACCAAAGAGTGGGCGCAGTGGGGCCAGATGAGCGCGCCTGAGCCAGGAGGGCGCGACGGGGCCTGGCGAGCGCGGTGGGGCCAGGCGGGCGCGGAGGGGCCAGGCGAGCGCGACGGGGCCAGGCGGGCGCGGAGGTGCCAGGCGGGGGCGACGGGGCCAGGCGGGCGCGGAGGGGTCAGGCGAGCGCGACGGGGCCAGGCGGGCGCGTCGGGGCCAGGCGGGCGCGACGGGGCCAGGCGGATGCGATGGGGCCAGGCGGGCGCGGAGGGGTCAGGCGAGCGCGATAGGGCCAGGCGGGCGCGACGGGGCCAGGCGGGCGCGACGGGGCCAGGCGAGCGCGACGAGGCCAGGCGGGCGCGACGGGGCCAGGCAGGCGCGACGGGGCCAGGCGGGCGCGATGGGGGCTAGGTGGGTGCTACGAGGCCTGGAGGGCGCGACGGAGGCTAGGAGGACGCTACGGGGCCTGGAGGGCGCGACGGGGGCCTAGCGCTAAGGGGGGAGGGGATTAGCTAGGGCGCGTAGGCTAGGGTGCGGGCGGAAGCGGGTGGGCGGGGACCTAACCTAAGCGTGATACCATGTTAGCATACGAGAATAATGACTAGAAAGCGAAACAATAAACATATAGCAGTTGGGTTGTACTCCCTAGGAGCACACACCGATACTAGCCTATAACTTCTACATGCATGACATGTATAAGTTGACAAACTACGACCATGACATCGCTTGTCTTCCCCAAATGACTTGCATTACAATCCCAAAGACCCTACGGAACATTTTATCGCAACTGCAATGCACATCGTTTTAGCCAACGCTTGGCAACCATGCTTTGTTCAGTTTTTTTCCCCCCCTTGAAGCCAGTATACGTGCTCACAATCTATAGAAACCAGAAGCACCTAACCACGCAAACGCTTCGGGCAGAAGGCTGCCTCTTTTGTTTATAAACGTAAGTGCATGTCTTGTGTGGGGTGTGCTATAGGTCTGAAGAATGTCAGTGGAACACATTTTGTGCATTGATTCTACGAGGGGCAGCTTGTGGCGGAGATGCTCGTCACGAGGGGAGCCCGTTACCCGCCGACGGCAACAGCCATTCCACAGTTCCTCAGGAGGGAGTGCACCTGAACAAGCCGGATCGCATGCTAGCACAGTAGTTTTGCTGATCTTCACTCCGCTGCCCCGTCAGCAGCATAACACATCCAGGTCATGACAACCCCTGAGCCAGGTGCCTGGGTTTTCTTCAGGGCTCACGTTAAGGTTTTTTGGAACTCTGTTTCTCCCGGATTCCCCACCCCCCTGCACCCTGATTCGCCCGGATTTCAGGGTAGTTGATTTCTGTTTCATCCGAATTCGGGGAAAAAATACTTTTAGCCGAGTTACACCAAACATTGATTCGGACAGGTCACGATGTTCAAGGTTCCATACAGGGTTACATTTGCGGCGTGCCAAGAAAAAGAGTTTCTTTCGCTAGTTTCCTGACAAACCCGCTAGAGTAGGGTAGAATCTGTGGCAGCTACCTTCGCAGCTTTCTTCTGGGCTGCGGGAAGGGGTGGGGGAGAGCGTGGCTGAACGTTTTTAGCCAAATTTTCCTAGCTGCGTGGGTGTGGGGGGTTGTAGGAGGAATTTCCCAGGCTGTGAGGGACGCCAAATATTCTAGGTTTTGGGTGATCTGGGTAAGAGGAGTATCTCTGTGCACGGGGGACCAGCCAAATTCTCTAGGTTACAGGGTTAGGCAGGACTGTTCCTTCTGTGAGGTCTAGCCGAAATTCTAAGTTTCGTTGGTGTGGGTAAGAGGAGTGTCTCTGTTTGGGAGGGAGTTCGTCGAATTCCTCTAGGGTCAATGAAGGAATGATCCTGGCTGTGACGGACTTAGCCGAAAATTCTGGATTTCGGGTGGTGCGGGTGGGAGGAGCACGGCATGTCTGTGTTTGGGGGGACTTAGCCATTTTTGCTTGGTTGCGGGGTGATGGAAGGAATGCTGCTGGGAGTTGGAGATTTAGCCAAATTTTCTGAGTTGTGTGGGCGTGGGAGGAGTTATAACTGTCTGTGAGGGACTTCGTCGAATTTCCTGGGTTCGGGGGATCCGTCCGTGGGTACTGTTTCTGGATGTTGGGGACTTCGCCGAAAAAATGTCTCTGCCACCCCGGGTGCGGTTCGAGGAAGGGGAAGGGGGGGGGGGGGGGGGGGGGGGAGGGACTTCTTGGCAGGTGCATCCGGATTGCCCCCCCGGCGAATTCTGATGTGCCCGGAGCCCCCCGCAACACCACTTCTATAAATTCCGGAAACCCCGATAACTCTACTCGTTCAAATTCCGGAACGAGCCCAGCGCCAACTGTTAATGTTTTTTAATTCCGGGTAACTATTATTGAAAACTAAGCCCTGGTTTTCTTCCCTTTCCGCCATACACTCCCCGCACCTGGGGCAAGGTTCGAGCCGCTGTTGTAAATCACCAAACCATGTGGAGAAATGGTGTGCCTGAAGTGGCTCGCCATTGGGTAGTTCTGTTCCGCCAGACGGATCGCCTTCACAGGTGGTCTGGTGCGGACATTGAATGGAATACAGTAACCAAGCCGCCGCTTGACCTTGGTGGTTCGGTGTCACGGTGTGACCCTTCTGCAAAGCATGCTGGTTTGGGTGTGCTGCTGAGCTGACATCCGCCCGCTCCTCACCCCCTCCCACGCACTGTAGCACGCACTGAGCATTCCTCCTCCAAAAATACATGTGGAACACTATCGCGCATAGGTTAGAAGCCGCACTTAGCCCACTAAGGGCGCTAGAAGCCGCAGCATCCGCTCCGCACTACCACACACAACGCAACCTTCCCACGGCCATTCAACGTCGAATTGGATCTCTAATGCCTGCATAAAGTGCCAGGCCACCAGTGAGAAGTGCTTCTTCGCAGCATGGATCCATACCAGTCCTCTCAGGTCGGACCGATGCTAACAGATTCCACCACGGTTGCACCTTTTGACTTGCAATCTCCCACCTTGCCATCTGGCACGGCGTCGCTAGCGGCATTCGCGGCGCTGTCGCACGACATATCGTCGTCGGTGGCGTCCATCCTGCTGTCCACCACCAACGCGGCCATCCACCCGCACCTCTTCCAAGCATGGAGCTTCCCGCCCAGCCCCCGCTCCGACGCGAGCGGCGCATTCACCCCCGACGACACCACCCACGCTGCCGCTGTGCCTGCACTCGAGCAGGTGGCGCCGGGCAGCGTGACAGCAGCCAGCGTGCGTGACGGGGTAGTGGGCGGCGCGTCGAGATACGCGGAGGACGAGCAGCTGCCGGCTCTCATGGGCGTCAGCTGGAGCGGGGGGCAGCAGCCGGGGGACGCGCAGGTGCTGAAGCAGCCGGCGCAGCGGAGCATCAGCCCTACCCGGGAGCGTAGAAAGGCCGCATCCTCTAGCCCTTCCCCCACCCGCCTGCACTGCAGTGCTGACCGCACCGCGCCCTCGCACCACGCGTGCCACGCGATGACGGCAACGTGCTCGCAGGGGCAGTACGCACGGAACGACCCGCAGAATGGGGCATCCTACGCGGCCAAGACCCCCTCGTCTAGTCCTGCCCATGGAAGTCCGAGCGCCGCTTCCCGCGGGGCCGACCCTCCTCGCAGGACCCACCCGCCGCCCCTCATGGCTCCTGGCGTGCCCAATGTGTTTTCCACCAAACCGCCTCGCCCGCCGCGGCACAGCAGCAAGGCGGCGAGCAGAGGTCTGCGCAGCGGCGACGCACGAAAGCCGTCCGCAGGCGGCAGTGGTGGGGTCAGCCGTCTGATGGGCGGGCGGCGGAAGGCGAGCGGAGAGGCGGCCGTGATGATGCCGCTAATCATCCTGCTCCTCGCGCTCTTCCTCGTGCTGACCTTCGTCCAAGGTACGCTCTCTCGCCGCCCCGCTCGCCGTGCGTTGCACGCTGTCCGGTGATTGCACAGACGTCAGGCCGATCGGAGTGAGCATAACGTTTCTCGCGTGGTTTCCTCTCCTGTCTGTTCCCTGCAGGCCTCCTCTCAACTGAGCAGGCGAAACGAATCCTCGCGGACCCTAACCCCCGCACGCAGAAGCTGACAGGCTTGACGTGGCACGACCTGGTTCAGGGATGGAACGGGAGCAGCAGCAACACGAACTCGACTTCACCTGACGTGAATGCCGTGCCTGGCTCGCCCTACAGCAGCATGAACCGCAAGCTGGGCGGGTCACCTCCCTACACAAGGTCAGGGGCAAAGCAGTCCCTGGCGCACATCCCTCTGCACACTCTGGGGCAGCAGGCGAAGCTGAGTCTGGCTGGAATGGCAGAGCTGAGCAGGCTCAAGCATGTGGCCACATGGCCGCTAAGACGACTTCTGCGCTGAGTCTTTGAACACGCCTACGGGAAATGAGATGCAATACGCGCACTTTGTGGGACACCCCGATCTCTTGGAACGGCTGTACCTATGCCTAGGTTGTGACGTGCTCTAAAGAGCGCCATTAGCCTTGTACTATACTGTTATATCCTAGTGTATAATGCGAAATTGTACCAGTGTTGGGATTTCACTCCATTTTGTCTGATGGACCTGCTTGCCATTGCATTGCATGATGAGATGAGGAAATACCAGGTGCTAAATAAGCTGCTTCCATATATCTTGCCACTGGTTTGTAGTTTGACAACTAGTTTGCATATCCTCCACCATTATACCATATTGTGACACGACCTCAGAGGAGTGTGCAGTGCAGTCGTCATAGCATATCATAGCTCCATAATACAGCACACTAGATAGGGCAAATACATGGCAAGGGAACAAGGCTGAGCGACCATGCTAGTTATCAACGCGAGAGAGGGAAGGGAGGGCAAGTTGGAACAGAAAAATGCAAATGAGACTAGGTGGCAGGTCTGAAAGACCTGCCGATGGATGAAGGAGTTTGTCTCCTTTACAGCAAACTCCTCTTCTAGTCGAATCACAATCTGTAAAATTTTCATTACAAAAAAATTTCTCATATTGTAACACGACCTCAGAAGAGTGTGCAGTGCAGTTGTCATAGGTCGAAAGAGACATCAAGTGTGAGGGCGTCGACAGTGGCGCTCAAGGGTGGCCTGGTACCGATCGGTCGCGCTCGAGCGAGTAGGATCTTGTAGCATGCGAGAAGCGGCCACTAGCTCGCGGTCAAGCTGAGTAATGTAAAGCTCCTTGGCTGTATCACTTCGCCAACGGCCGAGTGTCAAACATAAGTATAACTCATGTTTGTATAGACTGTGTAGGGTCGCCTCTTAGAGGGTACAACATCTTAGAAACTTAGGACTAAAGGTTCTTAAACATAGGAGGCTAGGTTGGCTAGGATACTAGGAAGAAGACCGCCATGGAATGGCGTGAGGAAAAACGGATCTAGGAAGTGAGAGAATGTCGAGAAGAAAGGTGTTTGATTAGGAAGAGAGAGGAGTACAAGAAGGGGTTTGTACCCTCTACAGAAAGGTTCAGTAACAACCTACCAAGCCTATATTAAATTATAACTTACAGTGGCGGATTAAATTGCCCGGATGTTTAACACTTTGAAACGTATCGTTATGCAACACATGTTTCGAAAATAGTAACACCCGTTTTTTTCCATTCTGTTACTCGGTTTTTGAGTTCTGCTTCATCCGTTTCTTGCTTGGCGCGATTGTGACACTAACGGAAAGTGGGGTTGAAATTTACTACTCGACTGTCGATGTGGACATTTCCTACCGAGCGGAAGAGTAGATCTATTTTCCCCCGTCGCTCAGTGTGTACATCGTCACGCGCACCAGTTCCTAGCTTAGTTGTTAGTCCGGAAGCGAGCCTACGACCGCATCGCTATGAAGCCGTTAAATGAGAAGAAGCGCGCGAGGATCAGAAGCATGTTGCGTGCGGGGCATTCGACTAGGAAAATAGGGAAACTTCTTGGCATAGGCAAGAGCACCGTGCACGATTACGGTATGAAACTCGCTGAGGAGACTAGTCGCGAGGAGGTGCGACCTACGATGCCTTCGGCCGGCCGCCCCCGCTTAATCACAACCCGTCTCCAGCGCGGAGTTATACGTGCGATTACTAGCGGCGAGGCGAAAAGCTCTTCAGACGCGGCCAAGATGTTGTTGGAGAAGCACGATCTCGCCGTAGACTCGAAGACGGTCCGCAACTCTTTACGATCCGCGGGGCTGATCGCCGTGCATCAGCCCAAGAAACCCAGGCTCTCACCGAAAAACATCCGCGATCGTCTCGACTTCGCGCGGGCGCATGCCGACTGGACGCTGGAGGACTGGAAGCGGGTGATTTGGTCTGACGAGACGAAGATTAACCGCTACTGCTCCGACGGACGTGCGTACGCCTGGATTCGCGAGGGCACCAGCCTTCGGAGCCACCAAGTCCAACAGACAGTTAAGCATGGGGGCGGTTCTGTGATGGTGTGGGGTTGCATGACGTATGAGGGGGCGGGGTTCATGTGCAAGATAGATGGCAGGATGGATGGGCCGCTGTATCGCAGCATCTTGCAAGATGAGCTCAAACAGACCATCGATTTTTTCAAGCTTTCCCCCTCAGAGGTCATTTTCCAGCACGACAATGATCCCAAGCACAGGTGTCGTCTGGTCCAAGACTGGCTTGGGGAGCAGGAGTACGCGGTGCTGGAATGGCCGTCGTGCTCCCCGGACCTTAACCCAATTGAGCACCTGTGGGCATACTTGAAAAGGCAGCTGGGGAAGTACGAAAAGCCGCCAAGGGGAATGCTGGAGCTGTGGGAGAGGGTGCAGGAGGAATGGGACAAGATACCGCCGGAGGTGTGTGCAAACCTGATCGACAGCCTGCCGAGGAGGATCAAGGCAGTGATTCGGGCAAAGGGACGCTGGACTAGGTACTAGTTTTCCTAGAATCTAGTGTGATACCATTTTCCGGTACAAATTGTCCACATGTTCTCCCATGCTATGCTTAGGAGTTTAAGGACCATGTGTGGTACTACTTTGGTGTTTGAACACTGGAGTGACTGCTCTAACTGAACTTCTCAGCGTTAATGCACACCGTACATTAAGGCTTAATGTATACGCCTCTGCACTCATAAAAATGCCAAAAAAGGCAAAACATGTGGACAATTTAATCCGCCACTGTATATAATTTTAACACACCCTCTAGGCTTGGTAGTGTCAAGCCCATGCACACCCCCACACCCACACCCACACCCACACCCCCTAGCCCAGCACCCCCATTCCCAGCAGGAGCCGCAACGACTCCGGAAGAGGGTAGGTCTACGCGGTGCCTAGCGTAGACTCCCCTGCTGCGTCAGGCGTAGGATCTCCTGCTTTGCTTAGCCTTGGTGCTTCCACCGCTTCACTGCTGCCTCGCGCGACTGCTGCGCTTTCCTTCACCTTGGACTCTGGCGCCTCCCGGTGTTTCTTCCGCGACTCCACGACGCTGACGCCGCTGCCTGTTCCCGCTGCAGTTACTCTTGCTGACCCCTCCGGTGGTCCCGTCGTTGCCCGCAGTTCCACCTCCCTTCCCTGTCCGGCGGTTCCTTCGGGCACTCTCACAGGTCTGCATATCCCCTCGTTCTCCAGGAACCTAGTTGGTGTCGGCTGCCTCCAGGACCTTGGCGTCACCACTACGTTCCCTGGTCACGAGCGGTATGCTGTCTGTACCGAGGCCGCCACTGGTGCCCCCCTGTCCACGTTCCCCCGGGACCCAGTGTCCGGCCTGTTCACTCTGGACACCGTGACCCCCCCGGCTGGAGCGCTCCCTCAGGTGGCCCCGTCTGTTCCCGTGTCGAGTCTTGACGCCCTCGTCGCTGCGGTCGCTGACTTCGCCTCTACCCGCCGCCTTGACTACGCCACCGCTCTGGTCTCTCACCCTGCCTGTCCTCCGTCTGTCGGGGGTGCTCCTGCCCTCGGCAGTGACGTCCTGGAGGACCGCCAGTTTGAGCTTGCTTTCCTGTCCGAGGCTGCTCCCCATCTCTGTTCCATGCTGCTAGTCCCTGAGGGTGACCCAGACGCTTTCGACATCCCGACCCCTCGTACTTACGCTGAGGCGGTTTCGGGACCCTGGGCCTCTCAGTGGATAGCTGCCATGGAGCAGGAGATGGCATCTTGGAGATCCACCGGCACCTTCGTCGACGCAGTTCCCCCACCTGGGGTGAACGTGGTCGATGGCCGTTGGCTCTTCAAGGTGAAGCGCCCTCCTGGAGAGCCGCCTGTGTTCAAGGCGCGCTACGTGGCTAGAGGCTTCAGTCAGCGCGAGGGGGTGGACTTCTTTCAGACTTTCGCTCCTACCCCGAAGATGACTACTCTTCGGGTGCTGCTACACGTAGCGGCTCAGCGTGACTACGAGCTTCACTCCCTCGACTTCTCCACTGCCTTTCTTCAGGGCAGCCTTCACGAGCAGGTCTACCTGCGTCGCCCTCAGGGCTTTACTGGCACCTTCCCCCCTGGGACCCAGTGGCTTCTGCGGCGGCCAGTCTACGGCCTGCGCCAGGCGCCTCGTGAGTGGCACGACACTTTGCGTGCTACCCTTGCTGACCTGCAGTTCTTTCCGTCCTCTGCAGACCCCTCGCTCTTCGTTCGTGCTGGCTCGACTCCGTTCTACATCCTCGTCTACGTAGACGATCTGGTCTTTGCCACTGCTGACAGGGACGCACTGGCCTCCGTGAAGGCAGAGCTGCTGAAGAGACACACCTGCACTGACCTTGGAGAGCTGCGCCGTTACCTTGGCTTGCAGATCTCCAGGGACAGAGCCGCGCGCACCATCACCCTGACTCAGTCACACTTGGTGCGCCAGGTCCTTCAGAGGTTCGGCCTTCAGTTCTCCTCCGCACAGCCCACCCCTCTTCCTCTGGACCACAGACTCTCCGCTCCAGTTCCTGAGGAGTCGGTAGATCCCAGTGGTCCTTACGCTGAGCTAGTGGGTTGCCTCATGTACCTGATGACTTGCACTCGCCCAGATCTCGCATACCCTCTCAGCATCCTGGCTCGTTTCGTGGCCACAGGCAGACACCGACCTCAGCACTGGTCTGCCGCTAAGAGGGTTTTGCGTTATCTTGCAAGTACATCGGGCATGGGGTTAGTGCTAGGCGGACGCAGGCCAGTGGTCCTTACTGGACACACAGACGCTTCTTGGGCAGACGACGCCGAGACGCTCAGGTCTTCCCAGGGCTACTGCTTTAGCCTTGGCTCAGGTGCTGTCTCGTGGAGAGCTACCCGCTCCTCGTCTGTTGCCCAGTCCAGCTGTGAGGCTGAGATCTACGCCGGTGCCATGGCGGCACAGGAGCTCCGCTGGCTGACCTTCTTGCTCACTGACTTAGGTGAGCGGCCTAGCTCTGCCCCGGTCCTGTACGCTGACAACAGGGCCATGATCCTCCTGTGTCAGGAGCCTCGACTCGAGGGCAGAGCGAAGCACATCCAGCTGCGGTACTTCCTCCTGCGTGAGCTACAGCAGCGTCGCCAGGCTCGCGTAGTACACTTGGCCTCCGGTGCCAACACAGCTGATATCTTTACGAAGGCGCTTGCGCCTAAAGATCATCAGCGGCACTGTGTACAGCTTGGTCTGGT